TGAACACATAACGCACTACAAGCCTCATTCATGCAATCAAACACACATTTAAGAAAAAGAATACCTCCTACATCACAAGTTTGTGTGGTTTAGATTTGGTGTGTGTGTGTGTGTGTGTGTGTGTGTGTGTGTGTGTGTGTGTGTGTGTGTGTGTGTGTGTGTGTGTGTGTGTGTGTGTGTGTACACCTGTTGTTGTTAGCCATGCATCTGGTTGTCCAGGTGGGGCTGGTCCAACACCAATGTCCTCCATCGCTGGTAGAATAATCATCAGAATGGCAACAAGAAGCAGTTTCATCTTCATCTTCATCCCTGACACTGTAGTGAAGCGTCTGAGCATCTGTGCTGTGTGGATGTGTTTTTCTCTCTGCTCCCTCTCTGAATCTGAGCAGGCTTCACTTCAGCTCATTTAGTTATGTTCCTGTTTGAGATGATATCAGCAGCTTTGAGTCCAACACTCTACTATTGTTGCCACTTCTGACAACAAAAAATGGAGTCAAGCAAGCGTTCCTATTTCCTTCTGTCTTCGCTGTACCGTCAGGTGATTGAGTTCAATTTAAAGATTCCTTGACTGCACATTTGCCTTTATGTTTGCTTTTGTGAACAGACACAACATTGTATCTGCCATGGCCATAAAAAGGAATAAATATAGCATTCACATTACAAAATATCAGGTAACAAACAAAACACTTCTTGCCTTCAGAATCTGTTGTGCAGCTTTCACAGTATGTTTTGAACCTTTGTACTGTGAAGAGTCTCCAATCAGTTTTGCTGTATCTGGCTCAAAGCAAAACTCTTTGCTCTCTCATTTGTTCTCCCACATTGAAAAAGTGCTCTATTGGATTGAGATATGGTGACTGTGGACTGACAACAGTTAAAATCTACTTCCAACTATGTTTCCTCCTATTGTGGCTCTGTAGTAAAATCTCTCTATAACTTCTTCTTTTGAAACAAACTGGACACAAAAAACAAAATGCCACAGCTGCTGCACAAGAAGTTTGATAGATAAGAAGACGCACTTCTGCTTATGGTGATTTTTTAATGTACCTGTTTGATGCATCAATTCAGGTATAAATGACTTTATAGCCTAAATGTAAATACAGATACTGGAGTGTGTTAAACTGTTTTAACTGTTTCCTACCCCACACTTTGAGAGAGCAGCACCAGCCATTACTTACAAATGGTCATGCAAAATCAAACTTAATACAAATACCTGAATCCCAAGCATCTATTAGGATAGTCTTAAATATAACACTAAATGTGATTGAGAACATTTTTGCTTTTGGTTGCATAATTCTACATAGTTGTTTTACATAGTTTTACATGTTGCCCAGAGGAAACCCACACAGGCACGGGGAGAACATGCAAACTTCACACAGAAAGGCCTGGAGACAAGATGCGTTCACAGCGCCTAACAGCTGATGTGATTAAACTTACTTTTAAGCAATGTTCCCTCTAAGCTGCGCGCGTGCCCAATTGCGCACTGCTGGCACGGTCTCTGCGCACACAAAATCTGCGTTGCGCACACACACAAAAAAAAATCTAACCTGAATTGAAATTAAAATAAAAACTTTAACAGTTCTGTTTTGCAGTGTTAGTCAGTAAGTGACTGTCTGCTCCCGTATGGGATTAGAACGATGCCACCTAATCCCATAGTCCAGCCAATGATGCGATTCACATTTGTATATACACAGCTAATCAATGTCGTTGACAGGCTATGACAGCGTCCTTATGTGCCGAGACCGGTGTTTTAGCTAGCAAAGCAGCGTGGCTGATGTGGAGTGAAGCCACGTTAATGACAACGTGTACAACCATTGGATATGTGAGCAGGACAGACGGAACAACTGACGGGGAAAGTGTGGACTTTATACCAGTTTTTAAATTGTGTTGATAGGCCACAGGAGAGAAAAATCCCAAACTCTGCTGCTTCAGGCTGCTGATGCTCCACCCACTGAACGTGAGTTTGACCACAAACACGGCTTAAAGGAAGTTTCGGTGAAGGTAGGAGAGGAATGAGGAGTCCACCTTGCCTCAGATCAACTTTTATTAACTTTTTAAAGTTTTATAAACAGTTAATAAACTCTTTGCTTCATAATTAGCTCCCACAGTTTTTGTAAACACTCACAAGTCCAGTTTATCCTGTGTTCCTGAACATTTCCCAGCATTTTTTTCGTGTACTTGCCATGCATGAAAATACTTACTTCAAGTTATTCCTCCTAAAGGTGGTTCTAAAAACTACTGAATCGTGCAGTGTGATGGTGCAATAGGTCATGTGTTGTTCATCTGAGGTTGTATTTAACTAATTTTAAAACCTGGATCACTTAATTTTTTATTATGTCCTGACAAATAAAAGCATAGAACTAAAAGAGGGTGTGCTTTCTTTTTACCATGCTGTACTGTTGTTATGTATCCTGGCATCCTTTCACCTGTCTCATTCACTTTCTGTCTAAATGTAATTTAATTGTCATAAACCTGCTTTTGTAGATGTTTGTTGAGGATATTTTCATTTTCGCTTTTGGATATACGTGGATAGGCCTGCAGGCCTGTCTGGCCCACAGACTATATTTTGCCCAAGCGTGACAAAATTACATCAGCAAACATGCAACATGTGTTTACTGATGCACATCTTACATAACAGCACTGCCTTTTACGTAGCTATACGACAGGACAGGACAACAGGAGGGTTCATTAAAGATGATAAATTATTTTGTTAATACTAAGATAAATAATTATATTGATAATAATAACTGAATAATTGTTTTGTTTTTGCTGTGGCCCATATACTGACGTGAAGAATTGTGCAGTTGGCCCTTGAAGTTGCTTTTTTTTTGTTGGAGAGGATTTGTTTGTTGTTGCAATGTTAAAATAAGTTGTTTAAAAAGCAAATAATTAATTGATATGAAGGCAATATGAGCAGAGTACATACATGCTGAGGGATTGGCTGTGTTAGTTCAGTGAGAGAGTTTTTGTAAAGAAAACAATCTTCACTAGCAGTCAAAAACGAATGTGAACGCTTATGTCTGCATTTTTATTTTGTTAAACACAAACAAAATTATAGCAGAAGTGCTGCCAGAAAGAGGGTACCAATTTGTTTATTTGGTAGTTTAATGAATTCCATTTTTTGTCTTGTTATACAATATTTGAAATTAAAAAAAAAAAACAACACTACATTTTTAAAATATTTGTGGGTGTTGTCCTATTTGTTTGTTTGTACTACTTAAACAATAAAGTGGCCCTCCAGATGACGGTGCCAACAGTGGCCCACAGCTCGTTTAACTTTGAGACTCCTGATCTACATCGTCACTTTACAGACTGGTGGATGAATACACGTTCTGTTCATTTTTTTCTTTGTTAATAAATTCTGACATTTTAGTTACCATATCTTATTGTATCCCTTTATTTGTCACAGTCTTTATTCCAGGCTGCGGAAAAACACATATTATTCTTACAAAGATCAGCTCATTGATTCCACTGCTTTTCCAACGACTGAACAACCCCGATTCCAAAAAAGTTGGTGAACTGTGTAAAATGTAAATAAAACAGAATTTACGACGATTCATAAACGTGTATTTTACTCACAATAGAACATGGAAAACATGTCAAGTGTTTCAACTGAGTGAATTTAACATTTTAAGAAAAGTATTAGCTCCTTTTGAATTTGAAGGCAGTAATAAGAGGCTGTGCTGTTATGTGAGATTTGCATCAGTAAATAACTGTCCTGATGCAGCACCTTCCCTTAAATCATGTGGATGGGATGTTACGTTGGTCTAAGACCTGCATGTACCTTTCATAGATACTGATGCACCATCTGAGACACTAGATTTTAACCAGTGCTCCTACTATGGTTAGAATTTGGCTGACATCCACCAAGGTCTTCAAGGTCAAGGTTTATTGGTTGAAAATTGACAAAAATCCTTGTAACCAAGTGTGATGTAGATTGTCAACATAATAGAAAATACCATATAAAGGTTTAAAACATGATGTCACATTTGACCTCTGACCTCACATTTACATTTCGCATCTGCCTTTTTTCAAGCAAGTATTGTCAAGAGAAACAGAATGAGCTCCCTAGTTAGTTAGAAATATACAGTCATTTACAAATCAGTACCTATTGTCCATCATCTACTTCTGCATAATGTTTGTGTAATCAGAGTAAACACTTTTCAAGTTACCCTTATGTGATTTTTACTGCACTGCAAAAACAACTTTTTTAGATTTGGGGTTTTACAGTTTTGAGGTTCTTTACATTTAGCAGCAGTTCGAGTCAAACTTTATTAAAACATATCGAGATATTATGCTAATGGTTCATTATTAATGATTCATTAATTGGAGTATACAGAATTTTACATCAATTAATTTTGTGCTTTTCTTTTCTAAAAGACCCCAAACTGCTGAGCAGAAGAGTATTAACTAAATGTGGTATTAAAAAACAATTCCTTGAAAACATCTTAAAATGTCATCTTATATTTTTATAGAAGACAACTGATTGTTTTTATGTCCTTCATGAATTATTTGAATTGTGGTTTAAACCTGATTGTTCTTTTAATTAAACACTGACAGAAATTCTGCTAACAACGAATATTTAACCTTTAGAAAAGGACAGGAAGTTAGATCCTTACCAAAATAAAACAGACTGTGATGGTGTTTTTTTTTTTTCTTGGCCACTGTCTTAAATGATTTTACGTGACTCTTTTGCATGCTATAAACTGCTCTCCTGTTTACTTCCTGTTTTGTCCCCTCGTTTATCTTTCTGCCTGTATTTGATCTGTGGCCATCGTACAATGTTTTTAATGTCCTACTGTAATCCTAACTATTCCCCCATTTAGCGCATGTTTCTTTTATTTTACTGTGAATTTTATTTTATTGTTTTATTCAAACAGTAATTTCCATATTATCAAAGAGCAGAGCGAGTAAAAGCCCAGTGTTTATCAAAATAACACAAAGATACACAACCTCTCCACCATGACAACTTTATTATACAATAAATACAATCAAAGGGACTCTGAAAAGATAAACAAGGTAAGAAAGATTTATGTAATACATGTGAAAAATAACAATAGCCACAATGCTACAGAAACACCTTAACAGAAACATTCACCCAACAAAAGCAGCAGCAGATTACGTCCTCTTTAATTTTACTTCATACACCAAGTTTCAACATCAGTCATGTTTCATAAATAACCACTAAATCATGTGTTTCTACTACAATGACAAACGACTCCAACAGTTCATTTGTGAAATAAATGAAATCAGTTAGAAGAAATAACCTCAAATAAAAATGATGAAGATAAAAAGTGGAGTTAAATTTTGATTTTACGAAAATGAAGGTTATAAGGAAGCCGAGAGGGAGTGCAAAGTGCACGATTTTGAATTTTCTTTAGCTTTTAAAATTTTACATTTTTAAAGTTCTGATTAATTTCACCTCCTTGTGCCTTTAAATCATTTAAATAAAACACTCAGAGGTGGAAAATCCTACATCATTTAAACTAAAGGCAACTCGTGTCTACATTAAGGCCACAGCTTGTAAATGGGGAACAAATCACAAATGAGGTCTGTTCACAGTTAAAATCATTATAACTGATTGAATTTAACCACTTTTTACATGGTTTGGTTTGGTAGTCTTTTCTAAAATTTCCTATTAGTATTCTGAATGTCTTTTGTCCTCCTCATGCCAACCCATTAAAAAAAAATGGAGACATTTTAGCTGACTCAAAACACTAAATGTCTGCTGTAGGAACATGGGCAATATGAAAGACAAATATAGTTTTTGGGTCTGAACAGTGAAGTCCTCACAGTTTGTAAGTGCATTGTAATGGCCACCAGGGGCGATACCTGTGGCTGCAAAAAGACTGCTTGTCCTACAGATTCTATGCAAAAACATCCCTCTGCCCTGACCCCACTAAACACTCAGGTCATATTGAATAAAACCGTCAGTCCATTTAGTTCATTATGGTCATTTTAAGAGCCCGGCTATCCTTGTGATTGACAAGACATTATCCAATGAGCTGATTGTTTCAAAACAATCAGCTCATTGGTGATGGTGAAAAAAAGAAAAAAAAACTGAACTGAACTCGAGGCTTCACAGCAGTAGTTCATTAACCAACGTCCATCTTATGGTGTCTCTATCAGAGATATAACAGCAGATATAAAATACTCCATCTTTGGTCCCTCCTGCTGAGGATTTAACCACAATCGTGTCTGAAATCTCATTCGTCCATATTTAAAAGTGCACAGCTGGGTTCACATGACAGCTGCATGAAGCGTTACATTTGCTGTCAAATGTCTTTGTGATGAGGCAGATTTAACAGTTGCAAAGGATCCTACACGCTCCTTCTGGATTCACTGTTCGCTCATAGAAAGTAAAGCAGAACTCCTCGTCACCCCAACATCTGCTACCGTTTCAGGATCTCATTAGAGAGCCAGTCCAGACCTTCAACCAGACCGGTGCCGCTGACGGCGCAGGACGGCTGGACCGACCACTGCACAGACACAGAAGGATGAAAATATTAACAAGACACAGAAACAATAGGGCTACAAACAGCATTCATCAACGTCTTCAACTTGTAATGAATCGTTTTAGCTAATTACTCTTTCATAATAACTGCATGTGGGTTCAGTTTGGGGCATGGCTGCTTTGACTGACAGGTGTGCCAACACAGATAATACCTGTCTTGTTCTTCTTGTATGTTATTAATCTGTTTCTCAGCACTAATCAGCAAGTCTGTGTGTTGCCCCCTGCACAGTTTATGCAAACCAAGTCACTTTAATCACACTGCTAACCACATGTGGAAGACAGAAAACTCTGGAGCCAAACTTCTCCCATGCTCAGCAGAAGCTGGGGACACCTACCGGCTGTGACACTCCTTTTAAACTCAGGGCCTCGATGATGTCACTGACCGACATGGCTCTGGGTAAATCCTGCTTGTTAGCAAAGACCAGCACGGCCACGCCCTTCAGCTCATCCTCCTGCAACTGCAACAGGACAGTAAAACTAACTTTAACACGAGTCTGATGATGATCTATTTCAAACTCAGACCTCTGACTGGTACTGTGTGGATTAAAAGCTGAATGAAGCAGTGTCGAAGTACCAAAGTCGTTAAAAGTTAACTAAAACTAAACTAAACTACAAGTAAAAATAAAAACATTCTAGTTAACTAAAGTAAAAGCTAAATTAATGAAAACTGATGAAAAACAAAACTATGGATAAGTTTAAATCTTTTTACCAGTGTGTGCAGCTCCTCAGATGCCTCTTTGATCCTCTCCGGGTCGTTGCTGTCGACCACAAATATCAAACCCTGAAGACAAACAGACAATATTTAAAAGCTCCTCACTGCAGCTGCTTCATAAAACATAAACACAGACTCCTGGGTTAAACGCCTGTGTTTACAGCAGCAGTCTCACCTGTGTGTTAACGTAGTAATGTCTCCACAGCGGCCTGATGATCGTCTGACCACCAACATCCCAAACTGTGAAGCTGATGTTCTTATACTCCACAGTCTCCACATTAAACCCTGCACACGCACACACACACGGAAACATGTTTATTATTATTTAACTCTTTTATATTTCTCTCTCATAACAAGATGGAGGTTAAAAATGCTGACCAATAGTTGGGATCGTGGTCACGACCTCGCCCAGCTTCAGTTTGTACAGCAGGGTGGTTTTACCTGCAGCATCCAGACCCACTGCAGAAACACAAACACACACACATGTTACTGTTGAAAACACAACACATATTCAGCTGTCAAATATGAGTTTGGAGGCAAAGGATGCAGACATTTTACTTAAGTAAAGGCAATACATAAAATATCCACTTAGAACAACTTTCATTTGAGAACCCCTAGTTTCTGAGGGGCAGCCAATAAGATAAGATAAGCTAAGATAAGATAAGCTTTATTAGTCCCACACTTGGGAAATTTGTTTTGTCACAGCAGGAAGTGGACAGTGCAAAAGTTATGAGGCAAAAATTAGAATACAATAAGAATAAATACAGTACACAACTGTACAGAATAGAATAAAATAAAATACTATATACAGTAGAATACAATAAAATAAATATACAATAAGATAAAAAATAGAATACAAATACAAATACTATATACAACTGAGTAAAAATACAACGATGACAGAAAGGATTATTGCACTTAGTATTATTGCATATGTATGGATGTGTGTGCTTGATCAGTTAAAGTCTTTATTATGGAGTCTGACAGCAGTGGGGAAGAAAGACCTGTGAAATCTCTCCGTCCCACACCGTGGGTGCCGCAGTCTCCCACTGAAGGAGCTGCTCAGTGCTGTCACAGTCTGCTGCATGGGGTGGGAGATGTTGTCCATCAGGGATGACAGCTTAGCCGCCGTTCTCCTGTCACTCACCACCTCCACTGGGTCCAGAGGGCATCCTAGAACAGAGCTAGAACAGGAAGAAGACGGGGAGGAACTACAACATCTTGCCTCAGACAGAGGATGAACCTGGCTGCACCAAGGCCCAGTATTACCGTAAACAAATAAGGATTATTTGGAACTGTCAATCATGCAAAGCTGCTCTAGCAGAGTCTAAGAACAAAAACAAGAACATTCCCTTGTGTATTGTTATGCTACACATCAGTAATATCAATTATATTCTATGGCTGCTGATGCATTAACGTAAAGTAGTATTTTAGTTATATAGCTTGCAGCTGATTACCATCACTTAACATAACAAGTCATATTTTATAAGATGAACACAGGTTCTGTATGTAATCCATCATCAGTTAAGTACCTGTAATACAAATAAAAGTATGTAATACTTATACCTAGCCACACATACTGTAGTACTTATTATTCTTCACATTCCAGTGTATTCAGTGTATTATGTAATATGGCAACAGCAAATAAGGGCAGGCTATGTAAAAATATTCATTTGCAATGCAAACTGTGGGCATCATAGAGTCCCAGAAAGATTTTTTCATTAGAAGAAATTTGAATGAATCAAAGCTGAGGCTCAAGTTTGCAAAAACTGCACAACAGCTTTCTTCTGAAGTTGCTCAGTATAAGAAAAAGTTTCTTTACGTTGTTAATGACATGTTGTTGTTTTTTGTTTGCTTGCACTTGATTGTCATAGTAATATTTTTTTAATAAGTAAAGAAAAATATAAGTCTGAAACGATTAATTAATAATTAAAAGTCAAATATATTCAAGGTCAACCTTAACTATCTAATAAAGCTTATCCTAAACTGAGATAAGATAAAATGATTTTATAGTCTCCTTTGAGTGAAAATCGTTTGAATCAGTCACCACAAAGAAACCCCTCAAACAGATGCACTATACAGATAATTACAGATGTTATAGATATATACTGTAGGTGATAAAGATAAGAACCATAACTTTTAAACTTATTTGCTCTTTGTAAGTAGAAAACAACCAAAAAGTGAGGAGAAAACTTAACAAAACTGCAGACTTTGCTTGTACGGGACTACAACTACAGCGATATCAGTAAGAACTCGGCATACTGGAAACTCTGATAATTAAGCTAACAAGTATTAACTTACCCATCAAAATCCTGACGGGATGCTTGGAGAAGAGTCTGGAGAAAATGTGTGAGATGATGACGCCCATGGTTCAGGTAAGCCTCAGGTAGAAAGTGTCTCTCAGGCAGAAAGTGTCTCTCAGGCAGAAAGTGTCTCCGCTGTGCCTCTTTGTGTCTTTGCATGTGTGTGTCGGTGTTTTATAGCGCTGCATTGTGTTGTTTTGCTCTGTGTATGTGTTACCCATGGTGTCATCAAGACTCCTGTCAAATCTGGACACGGTGGAACTAGTAACACCACCGGAAAACACTGGAAAACTCAACTTCCGCTAATCCAGCTTTCAAACTAAGAACGCTTTCGAGCCGTTGGAATTGTTTCGTTTTCTTCTTCTTCTTCTTCTTCTTCTTCTTCTTCTTCTTTTTCTTCTTCTTCTTCTTATCATTATTATTATTTGGAACCAACTAAGCAATAAAATGACTTTTGAAACCTGACTGGAGATCATAACTAACACATACAATCTACTCACATTAAGAAAATAAACACTTGCTTATCAAAAAGTGGTAACTGAGGATCAAGAGCACAATTTTTCATTTCACATATAGTTGCCTTTACAAAACTTTAGAGTTGTAACTTTAGCAAACAAGGTAAAAATGGAAGATGTATTACAGTGTTTTTGTTCCTCTGTTCCCATTTTGTTAAAGAAATGTTTTGCAATTTAATGCGCAGAACAATTAAATTTGTTTTGCATATGAATAAAACAATCTTTAAATTATTCAATCAGGTTTTGTTGCATTTCCATGACATAATTTAAGTAAAAATGTTGCGGTGCTGTGTAACAGTAATCTTGTTCCTGAGTTTATTGTTCTAACTTCTGATATCTCTGATTCTGTTTTCCAACAATTCCAACGGCTCGAAAGCGCTCTTAAATTGAAAGCTGGATTAGCGGAAGTTGAGTTTTCCAGTGTTTTCCGGTGTTGTTGCTAGTTCCACCGTGTCCAGATTTGACAGCAGTCTTGATGACACCATGGATAACACATACACAGAGCAAAACAACACAATGCAGCGCTATAAAACACCGACACACACATGCAAAGACACAAAGAGGCACAGCGAGCGGAGAGGCTTTCTACCTGAGAGACACTTTCTACCTGAGGCTTACCTGAATCATGGGCGTCATCATCTCACACATTTTCTCCAGGCTCTTCTCCAAGCATCCCGTCAGGATTTTGATGGGTGAGTTAATACTTGTTATGACAACAACATGCAATTTTATTCTTTCTGACACATTGTGATGTAATTTAAACTGACATGAGTCTCGTGTAGTTTAATTATCTAAGCTTTCAGGATTATTGGTTCTTATTGTCTTTGCAGTTTTTGCCATTTTTCGCCTCAGTTTTTGCTTACTTCTTATTTACAAAGTGAAAATAACATTAACAGTAATGATCTTTATATTTATAATTCACCTATAGTATGTAAAATATGTGAGAACTTCCTCTGCAGTGTGAAGACATTTTCTTTACATATTCTAAGTGTTATTATTACTAATTACTATTTGTGTGGCCTGAACAAAGAAAGAAAAATCAATCCATTAATTAAATTAAAAAAAAACCCATTAAGAACAAAAAAGCAAGCTAAAAACAAAAAAACTGAGCAATATTAAGATCGTATGTGGTTTTTGTCAACTTTGTTTAGTTGTTCTAAGTGGATATTTTATGTATTGCCCTCACTTAAGTAAAATGTCTGCATCCTTTGCCCCTAAACTCATACTTGACAGCTGAATATGTGTTGTGTTTTCAACAGTAACATGTGTGTGTGTTTGTGTTTCTGCAGTGGGTCTGGATGCTGCAGGTAAAACCACCCTGCTGTACAAACTGAAGCTGGGCGAGGTCGTGACCACGATCCCAACTATTGGTCAGCATTTTTAACCTCCATCTTGTTATGAGAGAGAAATATAAAAGAGTTAAATAATAATAAACATGTTTCCGTGTGTGTGTGCGTGTGCAGGGTTTAATGTGGAGACTGTGGAGTATAAGAACATCAGCTTCACAGTTTGGGATGTTGGTGGTCAGACGATCATCAGGCCGCTGTGGAGACATTACTACGTTAACACACAGGTGAGACTGCTGCTGTAAACACAGGCGTTTAACCCAGGAGTTTGTGTTTTATGAAGCAGCTGCAGTGAGGAGCTTTTAAATATTGTCTGTTTGTCTTCAGGGTTTGATATTTGTGGTCGACAGCAACGACCCGGAGAGGATCAAAGAGGCATCTGAGGAGCTGCACACACTGGTAAAAAGATTTAAACTTATCCATAGTTTTGTTTTTCATCAGTTTTCATTAATTTAGCTTTTACTTTAGTTAACTAGAATGTTTTTATTTTTACTTGTAGTTTAGTTTAGTTTTAGTTAACTTTTAACGACTTTGGTACTTCGACACTGCTTCATTCAGCTTTTAATCCACACAGTACCAGTCAGAGGTCTGAGTTTGAAATAGACCATCATCAGACTCGTGTTAAAGTTAGTTTTACTGTCCTGTTGCAGTTGCAGGAGGATGAGCTGAAGGGCGTGGCCGTGCTGGTCTTTGCTAACAAGCAGGATTTACCCAGAGCCATGTCGGTCAGTGACATCATCGAGGCCCTGAGTTTAAAAGGAGTGTCACAGCCGGTAGGTGTCCCCAGCTTCTGCTGAGCATGGGAGAAGTTTGGCTCCAGAGTTTTCTGTCTTCCACATGTGGTTAGCAGTGTGATTAAAGTGACTTGGTTTGTTAGCTGCAGTCATAAACGGTTTCGGCTGTGTTCTGTGTCTTGTTAATATTTTCATCCTTCTGTGTCTGTGCAGTGGTCGGTCCAGCCGTCCTGCGCCGTCAGCGGCACCGGTCTGGTTGAAGGTCTGGACTGGCTCTCTAATGAGATCCTGAAACGGTAGCAGATGTTGGGGTGACGAGGAGTTCTGCTTTATTTTGTTTGTTGAGTCTTCTGTCTTCTATGAACTGAGGTGAGAGGTGAATTCAGAAGCAGCGACTTTGCAACTGTTAAATCAGCCTCATCACAAGGACATTTGACGGGAAATGCTGTCATTCAGAGTTCTAGAATAGACTCAAAAACAGGAGATAAAAGTCTAAACGGGGCTAATTTCCATGAATTTTTATTAACTTTTCATTTTTTTAATCACTTTTGTTCAAAATTTCTGAGACAACACAAGCTGCTTTAAAACTGCCTCCACAGGACACACCAGAACGGTGTTTTAATTTTTCTCATCTATCAGACTTACTTTACTTACTAATGTAGTACGTAAGTTATCGAAGGTTAGCATTGTCTCAAGTGGACCACGATGAGTTTTATCCTTACCACAAATGACGTTTGAAATGTTTAAACCACATTTTATGAACAGCTGCCAGAAGTTGTGCCTTTGATCGTTAAATTCACTACACGTGCCAAATAACGCCCTAACATGTGTTATGTTGTTTTTACCTGCAAAAAAAACCTCAGTGCTGCTCTTTCTTAGCTAGCTGGCACCATCATCACAATGAAAGTTGTTTAGCAGTCCCTCTGATGCAGCCAGTCATGTGAACCCAGCTGCGCACTCCAAATAGTGATTGTAAATATGGACGAATGAGACCAAAGATATAAAAGAATTGTATATCTACTGTTATATCTCTGATAGACACAGCATAGATGGACATCACCCACTGCTTAATGAAATATTACTGTAAAGCCTCAAGATTTGTTTGTTTTTTGTTTTTTTTTCACCATCACCAAATTGTTGTTTTGAAACAATCAGCTCATTGGATAATATCTTGTCAATCACAATGATAGCCTGGCTCTTAAAATGACCATAATTAAGTAAATTAATGACTGTCTTATTGAGTATGACCCGAAACCAGACATCATGAAAGTGTTTAGTGGGGTCAGGGCAGAGGGATGTTTTTGCATAGATTTTTAGGACAATCAGTCTTTTTGCAGCCACAGGTTTCGCCCCCTGGTGGCTTTTACATTTACTTAAAAACTGAGGGCGTCACTGTTCAGTGAAGCCACCATTTTTCATAAGGGTTGGCACGTGGAGGACAAAAGACATTCAAAATGCTGATGGGAAATTTTAGAAAAGACCACCAAACCAAACCATGTAAAACGTGGTTAAATTCACTCAGTTATAATGATTTTAACTGTTGAACAGACCTCATTTGTGATTTGTTCCCCATTTACAAGCTATGGCCTTAATGTAGACATGACTTGCCTTTAGTTTAATTGAAGAAGGATTTTCTATCTCTGAGTGTTTTCTTTAAAAAAATTAAAGGCACAAGGAGGTGAAATTAATCAGAAGTTTAGGATTTTTTTTAAAGAAAATTCTAAATCGTGCACTTTATTTGATCAACAGAAGACTCTGATGGTCCCTCTCAGCTTCCTTATAACTTTCATTATTGTAAAAAAAAAACAATTAACTGCACTTTTTATCTCAGGTTATTTCTTCTAATTGATTTCATTTATTTCACCAAAGAACTGTTGGAGTCGTTTGTCATTGTAGCAGAAACACATGATTTAGTGGTTATTTATGAAACATGACTGTGATGTTTAAACTTGGTGTATGAGGTAAAATTCTGGGTGAATGTTTCTATTAAGATGTTTCTGTAGCATTGTGGCTATTGTTATTTTTCACATGAATTACGTAAATCTTTCTAAACATGTTTATTTTTCCAGATTCACTTTGTCATTATTGTATAATAAAGTTGTCATGGTGGAGAGGTTGTGTATCTTTGTGTTATTTTAATACACACTGTTGGAATTTCCAGAGGGAGTTCACAATAAAATAAAGTAACATGCACTAAATGTTCACTGCCATGATATAGATAAAGTAAAGTAGGTCGACCTTTGCAAAAGTGTTTCCTTCTCACCTTCACCTACTCCACTATGCCTGAACTCTATTCTTCAACTCTCTTTTGTCTCTGTTTTGCTTTTTTAATGGACACATGGACACATCATTGCTGCACCTTGGGCCCATCTGCCACACATCTCTCCCACTTTCAACTTTCTCATGCAGTACCACAGCTCCTTTCTTGATACCCTATCGTATGTAGTTTCCACAAAGAGAAAGAACTTCTCAAAAACACTCTTAAACAAAGCATCTGTGATGTTCTTTCTTGTGAAACCACAGTGCTGCTCATTGATTGTTGTCTCTTTCCCACAGTCCAGCCTCACATATAACTCACTGTAAGCCTTTTCCTTTGCCTCCCAATTCTACTGTCTATTTTCTTCATCTCCCT